GTTAGAAAAGCAGTTTCTTGTTTAGAAGCAGAAATATTTTAGATGACATTAGAGCTGTTGTTGGTTTTGATTATTGATTCATTTTTCCTTTGTGCATGGAAGCAGAACAAAATATATTAAACTTCTTAAAACAAGACACTTTACTGCCATCTGCAGGGAGGTTGTAATAAATATACAAAGCACCCATCTCTGCGATAAACAATAATAACAAACATACAAACATTTGCAGGATAATAAAGGTGTCTGTGATGTGAATGGTGCCCTCTTAGATGAGGAACACATGTGCAGTGCCCAACCAAAATAATCATATGTGGCAGCCCCAATCTCAACTGCATCTAGATTTCATTCTTGTCGTTTTCAATCTTCTGACAAAGGAGAAAAATTCCCATTTTAAAGACATTCTCGGGGTCCAGTCTGGTGTTGCTCATTCATGTTTTTGGGTAGAAAAACAGGGGAGGGGATACAACCTACAATTCAGCTTCTACAGAATGGCCCCTCACTCTAGCAGGGAAGACTGGCTGTTCAGGACTTTCATCACTGGCCCCAGGCCAGAGAGCTGAGCTGTACTTAGTCTCCTCTGGGCTAAAGCCATTCACCCTGCAGGGAGTGGGAGTGGGGGAGGGGTTGGGCCCAGGCAAATCATCAAAGGAAAAATAAAAACTCTGCCTAAAATTAGGGATGGGCCAGCAGGGTCCCTGAACAAAAGAACTTCAAGTGGGGGTGGGGATGGAGAGGGAGCTTTACACATATTAGTTATTCTTCAGTGCAAACTCACAATCATCTTGCTAGAAAGATGCCCTCTGGCATATTTTGCTTGGAAACAATGGTCATAAATCCAATAATATTTTCTATTCTTGGAAGAAGACAAATTGTTAGATGGCAAGGTGATAAGAAATTCCCATTACCCAATCCCATGTATTTGAAGGAAAATATTGAGTGAGTCTATGTTTCTTGCAATTCAAATCGCAAAAGTTAATATTACCAATAACTAACACAGGGCAGAAAGTACCCCTAGTCCCTGGCCCATGATGGGCATTCGTTTGTTGAATAAATGAGAAGAGCTCTACTCCAGAGTTATCCCCAAAGTGTCAAGTGAGCACAGAGGATGCAGAATTGGGGGAACTGGGGAGGGCTTCCAGGTGAAGGTGTTACTTGAGTTAGATATTGACAAGGAGGCAGAACGTTGACAGGCAGACAGGCAGAGGTGGAGAGAAAAGGCATTCCAAGTGGAGTTAACAGTAGCAGCAGGACCCACGGAGTGGGAGGAGAAGGAGGGACGTCAGTCAGGCATTCGGGACAGGAGAGCATGGTGACAGTGTCCAGTGAGGGAGGAGTGTCTAGCAGGGGCCACTGCAGCTGGTGGCCTTTGAAGGTGGACATGACAGCCAGATTGCAAGGAAGGATAATGATTAAGTGGGAGAGGAAGGAGGGAGGGAGTAGAAAAGAGAATTAGGCTACTCTCTCTCTTCTTTTGTTAATTTTCTATTGAAGTTATATATATTTATTATTATATATTATTAAAATATACATATTTTAATATACATTTATTGAAGTAATATATAGCATATAAAACACATACTCAATATAACGTATGCTGTTTTATACATATAATATGTGTTTATAATAGAGCATAGTTGTGTTTACATATGTGTAGTATGTATATGCATATGTGTGTGTATATATATATATATATATATATATATATAGCAAAGTGCACGTAGTATAAAGCTCAACAAATAACTGCTTTCCTGACTCCTAAAAGCATAGATTAGTTTTTAGAGCTACTTTTTTGTTTGCTTTTGTTTTTTAAGAAGTAAAAGGAGAGAAACGGGATGGTAGCTTGAGAGGCAGGATCAATGGAAAGGGATTTTCAGGCCACAGAATCATTGTTCTTATGCCAAGCGGAGCCAATTAAGAGGGAGAGATTGGATATGTAAGAGGATGAGGGAACAACCGATGGAGCAGTACTAATGGACATGAAAGGAGCAGGCTCAAGGTAATGGATGTGGTTGATATTAAAAATAGAGAGGAAATTTCTTCCTGGGCTAGCAGGACCCAAGCAGAGAGATCAGTGTGGGGCAGTGGCTGGGTGTGTGGCCCTGGGACCAGAGAGTCCTGGGTTCTATCTCAGCTCTGCCACTTACATAGACAGTTAACAGTCACTTTGGCTCCTTTTCTAAACTTGAATCGTCATGATAACAAAGGCAACAGCAACAAAAACAGCAATGACTCCTGTCAGAGTCCAAAAGCCCTAGGACCACCCTGAAATGGGACCTGCTTTTAAATTGGACTCAACTAAGTACACAAGACTTCTATCCTGACCCTAACCCTGCCCTATAACCTTGCCAGGAGACAGCCCACTTCAGGTTAGCCCTGAGTGTCACAGGAAGTGCTGTGCCAGCCTCTGGAATTCCAAAAGACATTTCAAGCCAAATCAGTCTGAGGGTCCAGGGTTGAAGTTGGAAAGTCCAGCATTTAGGAGGACTTCGGCCCCCAGAGCCTCCCTGCTGGTTACACTCACTGGTGGGTGGCACTGGGGGAGACGATGGCAGAACTCAGCTGCCCAAGGACAGAACCTCCCCCTCTTGGAGAGATAACCAGAGCAGAACAGGACCAGCCAACACATGTTGTCAAACCTTTCTGAGGCCCACGCCGACTTCTCCTTCCCAGGGTCCATGTTTCCCACAAAAGGATTGAGTAAGAACCTCTTTGAATTCACCAAATATTCCCTGAACTCTTACCTCCTGTCGGCCCTGATCTTGCCTGAGAACCTCTCTCCCTGAAGGAACCTCTCTCCCTGAAGGAACTGGGGATACTGGTTGTATCCCCCTCCCCTGTTTTTCTCCTAGCTCTGTGGCTAGGACGGACTCACAGGTGAGGCTGAGCACATCTGGGGCTCAATCCACAAGAAGTGGGAAAGCAATGGAGAGAAGTGAACATAAATTTTTATTTCTGAAACGAAATCAAAGCCAGACTCTGAGGTGAGAACTGAAGGACACGTGTAGAGGGGAAGCCAGACCTGGCAGCTACGTTTCCACCTTTTCTTTGGGTGACAAACCTCTCACTGCTTTTCCTGCCACCAGTATTCTGGCTGCACAGGCACACTACTCACTCTTCGTACTCCCTTAATTCCTTGTAAGGCGTCTGAGACAAGACTAGAAAGTTCAAACAGGACCTTAGCAAATGCTGAAGTGAAATATAAACTCAAAGCAACATGGGTTATAAAGAGGGCCATGGAGCTACAGAGATCATGGGATCCAGAGAGGAGGTGAAACTTCTCCAAGATTGCTGAAATCCATATGAAGTTTTCACGGCCTCAGTCAAATCCAAAAGTGGAAAAGAAATCCAGCAGAGGAGCAGCAGGGTGTTATGGTTAAGGGACCAGACACAGGAGCCAGATGACCTGGGTTCACATCTCAGTTCTTTGGCAAAGTTCTCTGGGGACCTCAGTTTCCCCATCTAAAAACAAGGGCGATACTAGTGCCTACAGCATAGGGTTCTTACGGGAATTAAGTTAATATATGTAAAGCCCTTACAACAGTCTTTGGCTCATAGATGTTAAGTAAGCTTGGAATTTTAACATTATTAACGACATGCTCAATGTGACTAAAGGAAGAAAAGAGATGGGGGCCACCTGGGAGATAGGCAAAGAGGCAGGAATGAGATGGACAGGAATGGCACCCAGGAAATGGAGGCCACAAGGAAGGATGGAGGAATGAGAGGAAAATAACATATAGCGTGGGACAGGGGTGGGGCATAGGAGACACTCAGGTGAGTGAGACAGATGGAGAAAGGCACTGCCGCCTTTACACCGGAGCAAGAGACCCACACTTGAGAGAGCCTGGCTCTGGCTCTCCTCTAGACTCACCATCCTTCCCACTGGGTAAGAAATCCTGGGGGCCAAGGGATGTGCCTCCTCAGCCACCCCCTTTTGGCTGCTTAGGACTCTGGAATTCCCTGCCCAACCCCCAAAACCCCACTGCCAGGTGCTGCCCTGTTCTGGTCACGCCATCCTAAGGCTGCCGTCTCCCCCCAGGTGAGAACACCCATAAGTTCAGAGGAGGCCAAGGGGCCGCTACTTGCAAGAGCATGGACAGAGCTTTAACGCGGCAGCTGAGGTGTCCTTTGGAGGCCCCTCAAGGTGCGGGATGGAATTAGGGGTGAAGGTGGAGTGTCCCTGTGAAAGGCGTAGGGGTTCCAAGTGGGGTGCGGGATGGAATTAGGGGTGAAGGTGGAGTGTCCCTGTGAAAGGCGTAGGGGTTCCCAGTGGGGGGCAGGATGGTCCCTCGCTTTCCTTTGAGGTCTTTCCGATAACCTTCGCGCTGACCGCGAGGTGGTGCTCCTTCCCTGTCAGTGTTCCTGTCGGACCCCAGTCCTGAATCTCACCAGTTAACCCAGGGGCGCTGCTGGAAAGAGTCCCAGCCTTTTGCTAGGCCTCCGGAAAACTACGCGAAATGAATGCGGAGAAAACCAGGCAATCTGTTTCCACCGCGCAGTTTCCTCACTGCGGCTGGGCTTCCGCCCAGGTGTCCGCAGGGCCGGGTGTCGGGTTCACCCCAGGTGGGAGGTGCTGGGGACCTACCTCGAGGCCCAAGAAGGCGAGGCCGCCCTTTCCCACCTTTTAAACTCCCTGCTTCTGGGTTTCGCTCTGTGAGCCGCCCCCGTTCAGAGAGAAGGCGGAGGATACCCTCGCCGGTGTTTACCAGGAGGCGCGGCTTTCAGCGCCTGGCTCTGGGGAGAGCGCAGCGCCTGGCTCCGGGGAGAGCTCTAGCGTAAAGTCAGATGACTTTCAGCCCTTGCGCTGCAGGGTCGCCACTAACGTAGCGCGGGAGGAGGAGCCCGGGCGGCGCCGATGCCCTTCCGCAGTGGACTGCGGGCCCCTTGGCGGCACTGGGCAGGCAGAGCCGGGCCGAGACGTCGCCGGGTCTCCGAGAGGGGCCAGAGCCACCTTCGGGACGTCGCCGGTCACTTTGTCCCGGGGGAGGTGAGGAAAGAAAGAGGGATTGGAGGGCCCAGGGGTTGAAGCGATAAGGGAGCCTGGCTTGATGGCCGGAATGGACCGGGGGAGAGGGGTGGTGATCTTAGATGGTGCCGGGGAGCTGGGACCCAAGCCCGAGCACGACCCCCCCTCTTCCCTCCTCCTGCCCGGGCGCGGGGCTCCAGGCTTGCTATTCAGGCGCCTCTCCAGCACCTCGCTGGGTCCCAGGGTCTGGGTTTCACCCTGTGGCTGCTCCGGGATCCTCCAACCCGGAGGGGAGACAGCAGCATCCAGCGAGCCCCGCAGCCCTGCAGGGGAGTTGCGTTTCCAGGTGAAACGCAGAGAGGGACTTATTCTCCGCAAGAGGCAGCGTTTGAGGACCGAGTACCCCATGCAGCGCAACCTGACCCTAACCCCCGGAGGATCCGGAGAAAGGCTTCCGGGGCTCTGGGCGCTGCAGGGTGCCCAGGAGCCGCTGAAGTGTATCAAGTGGGGGGCGCACACCCTTCCCCGCCGGCCTCGGGCCTCAGTGTCGAGGCTGAGTGCTCTCTGCTGGCCTAGTCATGTCCTGCTCTGTGCCCCAAGGTGGGGAAGAGAAGGCCTAGTCCTCCCGACTTACTGGATTTTGCTCGTTACGCAGCTCGCTACCAATCAGAGCTTTATCAGGAAATCCACCCGCAAGGAGATAGGAGGCAAAGCTCTCAAATCTGTCTCCTTGATCCAGGGTTCAGGGGGAAATTATAGGGTTTAGGGAAATTTCCAACTTGGATGCTGATTGACGGTCTTGATTTAGTCCATATAAGCTACTACTGATCCTGGAAGCCAGATTTTCCTTATTGAAGGGCTTCTCGCTTTTTAAAGGGCTCTGGTGGCATCATTTCTATTCTTTGAGTTCTGTAGACTAAAATTCTCTGTTCCAGGGTCATCCTGGAGACAAGGGTTCCCGTCTTGCACACGGAGCAGTGCTGTTTCTTTAAAATAATTCAGGTTTGATTAATCTATCAACCTGTCTAAGGAGGTAAAACCAGTTTAAGCTAGTGCTGTTTCAACAACCTATTTAAGGAGGCAAAACCAATTTAAGCTTGGGCTGTTTCACATGCTGTTTCACCCTCATGGCTCCATCAGGGAGGTCCTGGAGGGCAAGTTCCCCCTGAGGTGCTTATCTTTCACTTCAGTGACCTGGCTTTAGGATGAGGAGTGTCTGAGCCAGAGCACCGCAAGAGCCTGGGACCGTCCTGCCCAGTGGGGATAGGACCAGCAGATCCCCCTGGGCAGAAGTGGAGACCAATCTGCTACAGGGAACTTCTGAGGCTTCCTGTGATGTTCTGTGAGGAAGTAGGGGTACCCTGAAGTGGGCTCTCCCCTGGTAGGATTAGGGGCAGGGAGGGTCTCAGAATAGGAGTCTTGTGGCTTCAGGTGGGATTAGCGTGAAGTCAGGTACCATTTCAGGGTGACCCCAAGAGCAATACTGTCATTGTTGCTGTAGAGGTTGCTGCCGGTTTGTCTGATGACTTGAGCTGAGAATATCAAAAGGCAAATGCAGAAGATACAGTTGAGGAACAGACCAGGCTGGGAATGGGGAGGAGAGGGGCTGTGAGCTCTGGCTCTCTCCTCGGCCAAGCATCCAGAGAGAGCGACACAGCATGTTAAATTGTGCTCTTGAACACCCTTCTCCACTAAAATGAATCAGGGCTCCGTGGTGAAAAGTTTTTTTAATTTTGAGAGCTGGGATTCCCTTGGAGTGTAGGGATAAAATGGTTGTTTCAACGCTTGCTAACAAAGCAAACAGGACCAATAAAGTCCAACATTGGGTAAACGTCATTCAACAAATATTGATTGAGTACCTAATATGTTGCAGGCACTGTTCATAAATAATAGAGCAAAAAATAAATAACGGAGACAAAGATCCCCCTTGTACTTAGCTCACTCGTATTTGTGCATGTGTGTCTTTGGGATAGAATTCCTAGAAATGGGGTCCCTGAGTCAAAGGGCAGCTGCATAGGTAGTTTTGCTAGATAGCGGTAAACGTCTCTTCCTAGGTACTGTACTATTTTATATTCCCACTAACAGTGTATGGGCCTGTTTCCCAAGCCTTGTCAACAGAATATGTTGTCAACTATCAGATTTTTGCCAAGCTGATAGATGTGAAATGGTATCTCAGTGTAGTTTCCCTTATCATGAATGAGGCCCATCACCTTTTCCTATGTTTATGGGCTTTCTTTTCTATTAACAGTTTGTTCATATCTTTTGGTCTTTTTTTCTATCAGGTTATTGTACACAGTAATGAAATGAGATAGGCTATTGCGGTAATCAAGGCCAAGAATTGGTAGGGACTTGGATCAGGGTGGTAGCAGTGGAAAGGGGAAATATGGTCAGATTCGAATTGAATTTTGGAGGTAGAATCCACAGAATTTATATATGGAGTGTAAAATAAAGAGAGGAGTCAATAACAATCAGGTTTTGATCCTGAGCAACTAGATGAGAGTCATTTTCCATGACTGAGATGGAGAAGACTAGGAGGATAAGGTGTGATGGGTCATAGCAGGATTAGAAATGTGTATTAGACCTCCAAGTGCAGAAGTCAGTTAGATAGTTGGCTATATGAGCCCAATGGTCTGGGCAGAGGTCAGGGCTGGTGATAGCAATCTGAGTATCATCCAACAGATAGTTGAAATTTAAAGTCTGAGGCAGGAGCTGAGCGTGGAAGAGGTCCAGGGATTATGTTCTGGGGAGCTCCAATGTTTGAAAGTCAAGGAAAGGAGGAGGAAGCAGCAAGGGAGACTTGAGGAGAGGCCAGAGGAGGAGGAGGAAACCAAGGGTACATCACAGGGGAGAAACCAAGTAAAGAAAGTATTTCAAGGAAGAGAGTGATCGGCCATGTCAGATCGGCTGGTAAGTCAAGGAAGATAAGGCCTGAGAATTAAACATTGGAATTAGGAACAGGAAAATACTGGGAGGCCTTGATAATTTAGGCAAATGTCCTTCTGTATTTTCCCTTTGCTTATTCAATCATATGATTTTTTTTTTTTTTTTTTTTTTTGGGTACGCGGGTTTTTCGCTTTTTTGGCCTTTCCCGTTGCGGAGCACAGGCTCCGGACGTGCAGGCTCAGC